GAAACAGTTAATGCTGGTTCTGATAGAAAGGGGTCTGGAAACACAGTGCATCGCAGGTTGTTGGAATGGGTTCTGCATAACATTATGTGCCAAGGTGGTCAGAATGTGGCTGATCTGTGTACATGTACCTGAGCCTGAGTCTTCTGCAGCCTTGTCTATAAAGCTACGAAAGCATGAAGCCATATTAAAAAAAAAAATTTTAAATGCAGTAACAATGCAAGGTGCATCTCTGTCTTTGTGGCCTCCATCCAATCTTGCTGATGTTACCATGTGTAACAAACACAACATGTTAGTGTTGTCCTCTTACTCTAATCTCACCACATAGCGTAATATAGGGCTGTTGTTTAAAATAAAGGGAAGTGATTTGCAGTATGACACAATTAACATAGCAAGTTTTAGTAAAATTACACAATTAGTAGAGTTTCTGCGGGTCATAAAAAAGAATTATCTAAAATATAGGCCTTAAAATGTCTTAAATATGAGCTTGACAGGTCTTAAACATTGATTGGATTATGAAGTTATCATTGATTTTATAAAACTGACATAGAATTTGAAGCCTGCTGAACCTTGTGCAAGAAAACACTCAAATTAGGAACTTTGGGAAAAAAGACATCAGAGGGGAAGTCAGAAAAACATAAAGCTGCCTAAAAAAGCCAGTCCCAGTGCGACCCATTCAACATTAACTTTTGTAATTTCATTCATAATGGTCTTAAAAAGGTCCTAAAAAGTCTTAAATTGAAGTTGTTGAAACCTGCAGAAACCCTGATACAGGTTTAGCTAACATCATAAATATTGTCATATCATAAATCTTAAGCATAAATGCCCTCTGACAGTATAATCAAACTGGTATGTTTTTTTCATTGCTGATAAAACAATGTATAATTCAGGGTACTCCAGTAAAATTAATTCCTGCCTCAATTTCTGGCAAAGTGGAAACTTTCGCCCATAGTCAACTCGGGCAACAACGGCATATAGATATAGGCAGCAGTCAACCTCCCCTCCTTGCCTCTGCTACTGCCTCATTTATTTTGGAACAATGGTCTGAGAACCTTTACAGCCCATCTGGGTTGGCTTCACTAGTCATGGTATCCTTCTGAGTGCTGATTAAGCAGACGTTTGCCTGTCCTCTGTCAGTCTTTCCATTCTTACTGTCCAAATCAACAGTGGAGCTGCTCCCGCTGACTCCAGTAACATCTCGCACACAAAACACGTTGCTCACCAAGCGCAGCACCTCCTTCCTCACTGAGGAGGATAACAGGAAGTACATAACTGGATCCAGGCAGCTGTTGAGGGCAGAAAACACCAAAGCCACCTCATTGGCTTTGTCAGCCACACCCTGCCAGAAACATGAGGTTTGTGTGATCTGGGTTTTTATGTAGAACACCCTGACCATGTGGTAAGGTACAAAACAGACAGTGAAGAGAAAGAGGATGAAGAAGGACTTCTTGGCAGTTCGAGCGTAGTAGGGCGCATTGGGCAGACCTGGTTTCTCTTGCGATGTTCTCAGAAGCTTGAGGGCGATCTTTCCATAAGACACCACTAGAGACATGAATACGAGCCAGAAGACAACCACCACAAAGATGTTGATGTAGGCTTTCCACTTTGCATCATGGAGCTGCTTGTATTGGAAACACCTGCAGATGACAAACATGTTATGTCAGCTCTAACTGCTCATATCACACATGCTGGGATTTTTGACCAAACCAGTAAGACTTATAAGAAAGTTTGATTACGGCCGTCACCAACCTGTCCGACTGTGAGTGATTCTTTGACATCAGGAGCGCAAAAGTCAAAGCAGAGGCCACAATCCAGATGATTGCACAGAGGGCAGTGCTCCACCTTGTGGACCACAGTCTGTGCTGCATCCCTGCACCACGATGGATCTTCAGGTAGCGATCCACACTGATCAACCCCAGCAGAGTGACACTAATATACAAGTTCATGTAGAAAAGGTTGCCCACTACTTTACATAAGGTAGCATTAAGGTTCCAGATGTTACCCTGGCTGTGATATAGTATCCTGAATGGCAGACATACCACCAGCAGCAGGTCTGCAAAAGCTACATTTATGAGAAACACCCGCACAGAGTTCTTCTTGGAGTGAACACAGAAGAAAACCCACAGAGCCACCAGGTTCCCAAATAGACCCAGGATGAAGATTATAGAGTAGAGCACCGCCAACGAGCTTTGCAATGCGCCATGGTCCACGCAAGTTTGTTGGGGGTCAGGAGTTGTGGTCAAGTTCATTATGCTGGTCATTGTGGGGTTAAGAAAAAGGGAGCTGTTTGCAGTCTGGAAGATGGTTGTGGCACACGTGGTGGAGATATTTTTTGTCATGGTAGTTTTTGTGATCCTTGGCCCTGCAAATGGGAAGGAAACAAAGGTGAAGTATTTTGGATTAACTGTAGTGTGTTTTGGGAGTTTTTAGTTTTGGACTCATTAGTGCAGGTTGGTGTGACAGCCGAGGTCCAGCTGTATGGATTAGCCCTGAATCGGCAGTAATCTTTTCCCCAATAATCGCGTATAACACCAGCTGACCACCATACCAACAGAAATTGGAAAGCCAGAGAAAGAACAGCATTTATAACGCTGTACAGCTTAACAGATCTTAACTCTATCATACCATCTATTTAACATGCCCAACCACTTGAACAACCATTGGGGCAGTCAGTTCACTGCAGTTCATATCAAGAGATCAGGACTGGGTTGCACCAGCAGTTTGTAAGTTCTCTCCCAAGTTAGGGTGTAAAGTCGACATTACAGTCTTAGTAACTAACTCCTAATTAGTTTGTAACATCAGCCTCTAAAATTGGTTGCACCATGATTTATTGGGGCATAACCTATGTAGTTTGGACATAGTCATAACTACAGTGTTAACTAAGGAATTAATAAAGGAATCTATAAAGAATCGGACTGTCGAGCAGAAACTAATTATGGCAAGTGGCCAACCAACAATCAGAGATAGAGTTCAATCGTTACGGTTACCAAGCGCATTTGTTTTTTGGCTGTCACGAGCCACTTGGCATTGTAGCACATTGTCATAAGTTAGATCAATATTTAAATATCATGTCAATAAATTAGGTTTCTACTGGGTTAATGTGTTGCAAAATGGCTGCAATGTGCGTGGCAGAAAAAATGCTGTTTTACCATCAGTGAGTATAATTCTTTATTTTATGAGTTACACTACCCTAGGGACATGTGTAACTATTTAGATTAGAATAGATTCAGATTACGGTAGTTACTTTAAGTTACATTGTAACTTATCTCTGTGGTGCAACACTTTCATTTTAGTTATGCAAAAATCATAACTTAGTAATAATTTACGATATAACTAGACTAGGTTTGAACTTAAACACAGCTGGTGCAACATCCTGCAGTAACTGAAACAGTAAGAAAAGGAAAAGAGCTTGCTCACAGTGTGCAGTCTTTATCTTGCAGCAACGTGGAACTTGTCAAAGTACTCACCTAGTCATTGAAGTCCATTAAAAAACATTTACATCCTCTTGTACACACTCTCCAGACTGAAGAATAGAGTGCAGTTCTTTTCCTCTGAGTAACTCCAGTATACTCCGTCGGGTTTAATATGTAGGAAGGACCATCCAAAATTTGCTGTCCTGCGAAGACTCATAAAGTTCAAGATCCCTTCCTTCTGTCATTGTGTATTCAACTCTCTGCTGTAGTCTATCTTTCACTGACCAAATATTATATGTTCATAAATAGCACTGTGTAGAGTGTGCTTATTTCTTTTGTTTCCTCTATGTGAGAGGCATGCCCTCCCCAGCTGTGCTGTCGAAAGTAAAGAAATACTGAAGTGCAGAATGTGGTGGTGTTTCAGAGAGAAAACTTCAAGCTGTGGTCAACCCCCTCTTTCCTTGCAACCACTACGCAATACTTAGGCTGAGATAGAGAGAAAGACAGGGCTGCGCTTAGAGCGGGACCACAGAGCATGCACCACTTGTATATACACAATATGCTTTTCACTTTGGGCTCTGATTATAATATTGAGGTATCTGCTGAGTGTAGCCAACTGTGAAAGAAAAAGACTCCCAAAATACCACTGTATGCCCTCACAGTAATTAAAGCAGTGGCTTCAGAGTAAAGCACGCTGTGGTTTAAATTGCCACCCAAGAGACATTAGCTGCTGTCAACCTCTTGAGTTAAATATGTAGGCAAGGGTCAAGGTAATCATACCTGCCCTTGAATGATAATCATGCAATCACATTATGAAACCAGAGGCATTATTAACACTCAGAGTTGTGTGTCATACATAAAATCATATTTACACGTGGAGGTAATTAACCTTGCGGGGCAGCTGAAATGTGTTGTGTCCAACCACGGTGGTTTGGACCAATCAGCGTCCTATGAGAAACTACTGGCAGCTACAACATGAGCTACAGGTGTGGTTTAACACTTGGAGTGTGTGATGTCAGTAAGAGTTTGTTTATGTTATGAGGTTCACTAATCTGATTGGTTGTAGGCATGGGAATCAAGTAGCGGTTCCTGTAAGAACCAGTTCAATGTCAGATTTATTGGAATCGTATGCCTCCAAGCATTCCATCCATTTTAGATGATTACAGACAGACAGTTGCTACTGTAAGCTCTGTACTCTACTCTTACAGACTGTTTGTCTACTCTGTTTCACACTCATACTCAGAGATGATCAAGCAGTTGCATTGACGCTGAAGACCTATGTTGGCCTACTTTTTTTCCACACAGCAACTTAATCAGTAATCAATAAGGGAATCTATAAAAAGTCAGACTGACAAATGGTCTTGTACTTGTATAGCGCCTTTCTAGTCTTCTGACCACTCAAAGCGCTTTTATACACATTCACCCTTTCACACACATCCACACAGTAGCCGGGGATCGAACCAACAACCTTCCAATTAGGGGACGATCGCTCTGCCTCTGCGCCACAGCCGCCTTGTCGGTTCCCACCCCTAGTATCACCATCAACATCTTTCCCCAAAAAAATAGATTTTATTTGCAAGTTGATTAATTTCTCCTTGAGCAATTGCTGTGTATTTTTTTATTCTGATGTGTTAAGTCGTTAAAATCTTGCTTAGAAACCAAACTTAAAAAATTGTACAAAATTGTACCCCCAACAAATTGACATTCTACTGAAGATAATGAAGCAAAACCAAAAATGGAGATCACTGGTTCTCTGATCCTCCTACAGTGTTTGTTATTTGTGTGTGGTCGTGGTGGGTGATGGTTTGGGTGTGTCTGGCACATGTGATTTTTGTTATTTATAGGAGGTTGTCACTCTTTAATTAGCAAAATAAGACCATTAAATCATGAGTTTCTCCACTCTCTTCTCTCTTTCTCAGCCTCACTGTGTGCTGCTGGCGTCCAAAGAGAACTCTGCTCCAGTGAAGTTGGGGGGGTTTGGAGTGGCCATCCAGCTTGGAGAGTCGGGACTGGTGGCAGGAGGTACAGTAAACACAACCGTACACACTAGAACCAAGAATTACTTACTGTGATACTGTGCTCATTTTCAAAAGAGAATAAAACAGTTTTTGGACATAGTGTCTAAAGCTCCAAGTAGAAGAATGGGAATAAATATTCACTGGGTTCCTTGGTAATTCTACTCATCGTTCTGGACATTTTAACCATCCAGAAACTGGAGGATAGTCTGTAATATACATGGACAAATACATACATACACAAGGACAAAGCCAAAAATCTCCCCAGGGGGGTGCAGAGGGAGAGGCATGAAGCAAAGATACTGTATGACTTCTACTTCCCAAGGATATCATTATCTCTGATGTCCACCGTGAATAAACATCCATATATAGTTAGAAATCAAAGGGAAAAAACCCATCAGAAGTCGAGTGTTTACAGCGCAGTTGCAACCGTCGCTGGTTTGATCTTTACTGCATGTCATACCTCTCTCTCCCCTGTTTCCTGTCTGCCTCTTCACTGTCTCTGTCAGAATCAGAATGTCTAATAAAGGCTTGCCAAAACTATTGCTATATGCTATGGAAGTGCAGTATTGGCACTACGGTTTTTATGATTAAGTTCAGTCGCTCTTGTTTGAACTAGGGATGCTCGATATTGGCTTTTCTGCCGATATCCGATATTCCGATATTGTCCACCTCTCAATTTCC